GAAATGAGAACAATACAAGACAGTTTAAAATCCTAAATTCCATATATGTTACCATCAGATTTTCAAAAATGAGAAAGTCTGACAGTATCAAATATTGGAAAAGCTGGAACCTCACATTTTGGGGGCACTTGTAGTAAGAGTGAAAACTGGGGAGCAATATGGCAGCAATAAAAATTTAAATATCAAATCCACATCCTCCAACAACTCCATTTCTGGATCTTTATTTAAGAGAACACATCTTAACAAGGATAAGGAAACTAATATAAAGACACTCAATGTAGAAATGTCTGTAAAGGAGAAGACAAGATGACAGATTAGATACACCTATCTTGTTCAAGCATCTCTGCAAATCTAAATAAAAACCTCAGGTGTGTGGCTGCAAAGAAAGGTGGGCAATCTAGAAAGGCAGGGGAGGGCACCAATAAAAGAATAGACAGTTTGAGACCAGGGGAAATCAAGAAATACTGAACTTTTGATCTATAAAGGAAACAAAGGGAAAGCTTCACTAGGGTGGAGCCCAGAATGGCACAGGATCCTGAGTCCCCCTACCATCCTTCCATGGGGATGGGCAACCTTCAGAGAAGGACCTAACCCACTCTATTCCTTGACCCATTCTTTATTTGTGTGGTGAGAGATAGCTGCAACAACTGGCACACTATAAATAGAGGCTAGCACAGAGGCAGAGGGGAAAGATGGCAAATTTTGCTGTAGATGTCCCAGAGCCAACAGGGTAAAACACCCTGGGCACAAAGTGAGTCACAGAAGGGCCATACACCACAGAGCACATCCAACCCCATTTCATGCCTAGACTCAACACCCCACAGGATAAGATACAGCCATATACCAAGCTATAAACAGAACTAGCCTGGTTAGCTACAGGGAAAATGAAAAAAAGAGCAGGAACTACCCGGTGCTCTGAGTTACCTGACCAGGGGAAAGAAAGGGCCCATGGATAGAGTGCAAGACTGGGCATACCTATCTGACTGTACTGATCCACTAGCTGTGCACAGAGGCCAAACCTCCAGATGTTGCCATAGCTGCTTGGAGCTTCTACAGTAATAGAAATAGGTAATAGCAGCCTCACCCCCAGAGTAGCCCAGAACTGAGGGAATTACTGATATTCCACAGGAATATCTGGCTGCCACACCTTCAGCTGTTGCCCCTGAACCTTTGGCCCAGACTCCACACACAGGGGAATCCCAGGCAATCTCAGGTCCTGAGGGACCCCAGGAATGAACATAGCTAGAGAGCTATAGACAAAATACTGAAGGGAGAGGTTGGAGAATACCTGCTGCACTAATGGAGCACAACTGGCATACTTGTACCTCCTTAACAAAGAAGAAATACTGACTTTAAATTTTCATTTTTAAATTTCTCAATAACTATTTTATTACATTTCTTGTATTTTATTTTTAATTATTATTTTTCACTTTTTATATCCTTTTAATTCCCTGACTATAGGCCTTCTGCACAATAATTATACGGCATTCTCACACTATTATTTCATATATCTTCAGCCTATATACCTCACCCTCCTCTCTCCACATCTTTTTTCCTTACCTCACCCTGCCTTTTTTGTCCAGAACATTGAAAATACTTCAACTGAAAGAAGACAGTGACTAAAACCTCTAAACAAAAAGTTGATCTGAACTGCACAAATCCCAAACAGAAACATAGGAACTATGTTGAAATGTATGAATCCAAATGCAGGAAATATGAAAAAACAAGGCAACATGACACCTCTAAAAGTTAAAAAAAAAATTCCACAATAAAGTACATGAAACATAGTGAAGCAAATGAAGACTCAAACAATAACTCAAAAGAATGATGATAAAAATGATCAACAAAATTAAAGAGGACATATTTAAATCAACTGAGTGAATTCAAAGAGAATGCAAATAAACAGCTGACTGAAACAAGGAAGACAATACAGGACATGAAAGGGAATTCAATAAAGATACAGAAATCCTGAAAAAAAAATCAAATAGAAGTTTTGGATATGAAAATTTGGATAACTCAAGTGAAAAACTCAGTTGGAAGCCTCACTAAAAGACTCAACCACACTGAAGATAAAATATCAGGGCTTAAAGACAAGGTAGAGGAAATAGAACATATACCTGAAGAAAAATACTAAGAAAGTATCAACAGAGTATGTAAGATGTCTAGGACACCATCAAAAGACCAAACCTATGTATTATGGGCATAAAAGAAGAAGAGGTACAAATGAAAACATAGTCAATAAAGTAATTCCAAAATCATGAGAAAGAATGGTCGTCTAGATATAGTAGACTATTATAAGACAAAACAGGTATCTCAGAAAGAACCTCTGCAAGACATGATATAGATAAAAAAATTAAATACATAGGACAAGGAAAGAATATCAAAAGCTGCAAGAGACGCCCCAAGTCACTTTAAAGGTAGACCCAAAAGAATAAAAGCAGATTTCTCAAAAGAAACTCTAAAAGCAAAGTCAATGTAGAATGATGTTTTTCAATGATGTATTTTAGGCACAGTGGGCATGGAGTGGTTTATTTCAAATACTCACCAACCTAGATTACGATACCCAGTGAAGTAGTCCTTCATAATTGAAGGAGCAATAAAATCCTTCCATGAGAAATGAAAAATAAAGGACTACATAGCTGCTAAGCCACTATTACAGAAGATACTTAAAAGAATTCTAATCACAGAAGAAGATAAACATAACCAGAAAAACACAGAAAGAATACATGTTACCAGATGCATAGATAAACAAATGAGGAAGAGGAAAGAATCAAACATCATACACACACACACACACACACACACACACACACACCCATCAAAATAAAAAGAATTACTACATACCTTTTCAGTAATACTGAATGTTAATGGTATCAATTTTCTAATCAAAAGACACAGACCGGTGAGCTGGATAAAAAACAAGACGTAATCATTTGTTGCCAATAAGAAACAATGTCACTGGCAAAACAAACACAGGCTTAAAGTGAAAGCACGGAAAATGATATTCTAAGCAACTGGAGCCCAAAGTAAATAGCAGTACCTATACTCATATCTGACTAAGCAGAGTTGAAGCCACAATTAGTCAGAAGTGATAAACAAAGTGACTTTACATAGATAAAGGGAACAATCCTACAAGAGGATATAAAAATTATAACCCTATCTGCACTAAATGTTGGCACATCCATCCCATAAAACAAATACTATTGGTTATAAAAGCACAGATCGATCCCAAAAAACAATAGCAGGTGACTTCAAATACCCAACTCTGAGACAGATCATTCAAAACAAAACTTCAACAAAGAAAATTCAGAATAATGCAACATATAAATCAAATAGACTAGAGACATTTAGATATCCACATACAGAAGACTAAATGTAGACCTCTATCTCTCACTCTGTATAAAAATCACTTTGAAGTTATCAAAGGTCTTATTTTAATAAACGAACTTTCAAAATACTTCAGGAAACTATAGGAAAAACTCTAGAAGATACAAGGCAAAAGCATCTACTCTCTCAATAGAACTCACAAATTAAGACCAAGAATAAAAAATAAGATCATTCACAAAATAAGAGCAAGAATTAACGAATGAGATTGCATCAAGTTTTTAAAAAGTTTTGTACATCAAAGGAAATCATTATCCAAATGAAGAAACAACTCACAGAATGTGATAAAAATCTTTGCAATGTATTCATGGGACAAATGCAAACACCAAAAGAATAATAATCAAATTAATAAAAGAGCAAATGAATTGAACAAATAGTACAATTAACACAATATGGCCAATAAATCCATGAAGAATTGTTCAAAATCCTTAACCATAAAGGAAACGCAAATCACAATGACACTGAGATTCCATCTCACCCTAGTTACAATGACTTTTGTCAAGAAAATAAACAATAGCAAAAAATGCTGCTGAGGATGCTGAGAAAAGGAATTGTCATACTGTGCTGGTGGGAATGTAAATCAGTGCAGTTACAAAGGAAATCAGTATGGAGGATCTTTGAAGAAACTAAAGATAGAACTGCCATCTCATCCTGCTCTATTACTCTTGTGCATGTATCTGAAGGAATTAAGTCAACATAAAATGCAGATACCTGCACACCCACATTTCTTGTAGCTTTATTCACAACAACTAAGCTATAGAATTAACTTTGATGATCAATAACAGATGAACAGACTAAGAAAATGTGTTACATATAAACAATGTAGTATTCTTCAGTCATAAAGAATAATGAAGGCCTAGATTGGTAGTGTAAACCTGTAATCCAGAAGCTGGTTTATTCAGATGGTATATACTGGAGGTAATGATTGGAAGGATCAAGGTTCAAGTCCATCCCAGCAAAAAGTTAATGAGACTCCACTCTCCATCTCAACCATTAAGTTGGGCATGGGAGTGCAGATCTATAATCCCAGCAATTCAGGAAGCAAAGGCAAGAAGATTGCTGTCCACGCTGGCCCAGAAAAAAACACTGGACCCTATCCAAAAAAATAACTAAAGCACTGTAGATAGGTTACTGGAACAAATAAGATGGATAGCTGTATTAAGAGTCTTATTTTATATTAGTATTTGCAAAACGTAACTGAAGAATATATTACTATAATAATTTTATTTATAAACATAAATGTAAAATTTTAGACATGGACAAATGGATAAGCTAAATGCATTTATAAAGCCTACTTTTCAAAGTTACATGATATCACAATACAGAACATGGAAATGCAAAAACAAAGGAAAAACTAAACTGAAGAGTAATGCTAGAAACGTGCCCTTTGCTTTGAAGGTCCTTCTGTCATACAGGCTATCTGGTAATATGCAATGTATCCAGAAGGTCTAGTAATTAAACTAATGTAGCATTAGGATCCTAATCTACATTATTACCTGGAATTTATTTTTAACTCATACACATTCTAATACAAATATAAACTAAACAGCACATGTGAAGTAAAATACCACATAAATAACAAGTCTATTCTAATTCCATCTTAACAGTCCCTTTACCTTTATTGTCTGTCTGCTTGTCTGAAAGCGTTGCTCAGATATTTGCTGTTGATGGAGGAGCTTTTCATTGACTTCTTTATATTCTTTAACAGACAATTCTGCCGTTTTTTTGGCATTCTGAAGTGCATTGTTTTGTTGTTGCAAGGATATAATCCGTTCTCGTAATAAAATAACATTGCTACTTGATTTTTGGGCAGTTATATTTTTGCACTTTTCTCTGGCAACTAAATAAAAATAATGTTTAAAATATTTTAAAATCAGATTAAAAATTTAAAAACATACTATTAATATTACACTGCACTCTTACCTCTGAGAGGAACTGCTGTACGTGAGCTCTTGTGCACATTACCATTCTTCTTTGGAAAAGTTGGTTTTTTAGTATTCTTGTAATCTAAGGAATCCTAAATTCAAGTTTCAGAAAAAATAAATATTATTATTATTCAACAACAATGTCAGACTAACATAATAAGTAGTATCTCTATTTATATATTCACAGAGTTAAGAAAATAGCGAGCTAATAAAATTCCATACTTGATACCCCCATTATAGAACTCACAAATAAATTTAAATTTATGTTTTTAATAAATAAGTTTACAGTTGAACTAGTATGCAAGAGATATAGATACAAAATCAACTCAAAAGAATTTGCATTTAATCTACCATGAATAAATTCAATAGCAACAAAAGAAAAGTATGAATATGGGAGTCTGGGTGATTTTCTCAATTACTTTTCTTGGCTACAAACAGACATGTGACATTCATGACAAATAATGCTAAAATGATGTCAAAAGCAATCCTCGTGGTATTTCAATGCACTGAGCATAAGCCATTGTGTTGACTTTTTCCCCAAAATGAGTCACCAATTTAGAAATGCTTTCACAAAATTAAATTTTAAATGGAAATATATTCTGAAAACATTAAAATCCTAGCAATAAAATGCATGGTCTTATTTAAAATTTATTGGCTGGGAAACAGACAATTATTTCTTACTACAAAAAGAACTTTCTCAAAGATTCCAATTCAGGAACAAATAAGTAATTACAGTAAAAAAAGATGGGAAAAATAAATTTGACCCACTAGTATACTGAAAATAACATACATATTTTATGTTGATGAATATATTAACTATAACATATTAAATATAAGGCACAGACAGTTCCAAAGCATAAACACCTATACTAGAAACCTATACTTAAGAGAGGGATTTGCTTTAAACTGATTAGTTTCAAGTATCATAAAATCCTAACAATGTTACATTTCTCAAGATAAGTTTTAGATGACTCATTTGAACCTGTCCTCACAACTGGTATATAAGTTTTTAAAATGTTTTATTGCTAAGATTCAATTAAAATTTAAATGTCAGCCACATACTAAGCACTGTAAAAACAAAATCCAAAACTGGATGACCAGTATTAATTCCCAGATTTGGTATTGAATTAGCTGGACCTAGGCCTGGGGGATAGGGCCTCAAGCTGTAGAGTGCCTACTTTGTAAGCAGGAAGCCATGAATTCAAATCCCAGTACCACCACCAACAAAAAAGATTATCAAATGAGGTCAACCTAAGATAAAAAGAACTGGGTTTCTGTTTACAGAACTATTTACTGAAACAAAAATTTAGAAAAATTCTCATACTATGAAACAAATACACTTGAAGTGTCTTTAATGTGGCAAAATAGTAAGGGAAATTCTCAGAGGCCAAAAGTGAAGTAAAAGCAGACATCCAAAGAGACAAACAAATGAACAACAATGTGGTCACTGACTATTCCTGTGATCTTGAAATTCCATGTAAGTAGCAATACAGAAAGCAGGTGAGAAAGAAAGAAAACTGCAGTCACAGAGGCAGGACACTGTACATCAACAGTTTGTTCTTTTGGTTGCTTGGAATATTCTGGAGTATGGATGTACCACATTCTAATTGTTCAACTAACTGAAAAAAAAATTGACCGTTTCTAGTTTTTAGCCATTATAAACATAATTGCTATGGCTAGTCATGTACAAATTTTAGTTATCTATTTATTAAATAATTATTTCATGTATTATTTATTTTTCTAGTCCTAAGGATTGAACCCAGGTCTTTATTCATGGTAAAATGTGTACTCTACCACCAAGCTACATCCTCAGCCCCAAGTTCTTTTTTTTTTTGGTAAGCATAAATTGTTACTTATGTGGGATATGTATCTAAAAGTGTGGCAGCTGGGTTCTATGCTAGGAATAGTTTTTTAAGAAACTGTCAAAACTGTTTTCCAGAGTGCTGTATTATACCATTTTATATTCCCACCAGCAATGTCTGAGAGATTCAGTCTCTGCATTCTTGTTGGCATTTTGTATTATTACTATTTTTTACTTTAGTTGTTTTAATAGAGAGAACATCTCATCACAACTCTAAGCTCTATTTCCCTAGTGATTAGTGAGGTAGAACTTCTTTTCATGTGCTTATTTGCCATACAAACATACATTTTGGTGGATTGTCTGTTCATGTGTTTTGCTCATTTTTTTCTATTAAAAATTTAATAGACACGTAACAATTATGTATATTTATGGAAGCAATGTAAAAATTTGATACATCTTTACAATGTGTAATGATCAAATCAGAGTAATTACTATTTCCATCTCCTTAAACTTTCGTATTTTTGTCTTCCTTCTATCACACTGTCCCTCCTCTTCCCCACCTCTAGAGACTACTATTCTATTTTCTATTTCTATGACATTAATCTTTTGGTCTCCACATGAGTGAGAATATGCAGTATTTGTCTTTTTTGCACCTGGCTTATTTCACTTAACATAATGTTCTCTAATTTCATTATGCCAAAAATGAGGATTTCATTCTTTTTATGGCTTAATAATATTCCAGTGTGTGTATGCACCACATTTTCTTTATACATTCTTTCACTGATGAACAACTTGTTTGATTTCCTACTTTGGTTACTATGCAAAATGCTGATATTAACATGGAAGTGCAGGTATCTTTTTGATGTGTTAGTTTCTTTTGGCTATATACCTACCCAGTAGTGGGATAGTTGATCACATCTATTTTTCAGTTTTTTGAGGAACCTCTATATTGTTTTCCATCAGGGCTGTACTAATTTACATTCCCATCAACAGTGTATAAGGGTTTCCCTTTCTCTGTATCTTCATAAGCATTTGTTATATTTTACCTTTTTGGTAATAGCCCTTCTAAGTGGTATAAGATGAAATCTCACTGAGGTAGTGATTTGTACTTCACTGATGGTTAGTGATTCTGAATGTCTTTACTAGTGCTGGTGTACTGTCTACTCATGTCTTTTACCCACTGTCCAGTTGGATTATGTGATCTTTCATAGTTGAGCTATGAGAGATCTTTATGTATTCAGTGTGAGTTCTTTGTCAGGTACATGGTTTATAAATACCCTGCCTATTCTGAACTGCCTTTTCCTGATCCAAGGAGGGCTTTTGCAAAGCAAGGTTTTTTGTTTTTTGCTATGGTTTTTGTTTTTTGTTTTTTTGCAATGAACCTAGGGCCTTACACTTGCTAGACAAATGCTCTGCCCCTGAAGTCATGCACCCACTCCTTTTGTCTCTTAGTTTACTTCTTAGATAAGGTCTCACACTTTTGCCCAGCTGGCCTGGATCTGAATCCTCCTACATCCACCTCCTAAGTAGCTTGAGTTAAAGATGTACACAAACTCACCCAGCAAAAGTTATTCACTTTGATTTACTCTGACTTACTGGCATTTTATTTTATGGATCATGCCTTTGGTATATATGTAAAAAACTCTTCACCAAGCCCTAGGACCTGAAGATTTTCTCTTATATTTTATTCAAGAAGTTATATAATTTAAGGTTTTACATTTATATCTGTGTTCCTTTTGTAGTTTCTATGTAAGGTCTGAGGCTTAGGTATAGGGTCTTGTTTTTCCATGGGAATATTCATTTGTTCCAGCAAAAAAAAAAAGACTAGTCTCCCTTTATGGAACTGCTTTTTCACCTTTGTCAAATCAGTTGTTCACACTTATGTGAATTCACTGCTGGATTCTCTATTCCATTATATGGATAATAAAGCTTGCCTTCTTCTTGGTATCACCAGTCTTGATATTCAAACCAATTTTAGGTGATGAGGATTTATTCCACCCTCTGTGGGGTCACAAGCAAAACAGTTATTTTTCTGTTCTATGATTCAAATTTTGATCTTCCTCTATCTTCTATTTCTTTACTGAGACTTTTTATTGCTTTATCAAAAGATGTTCTATTTTTCATGTTTTAAGTCTTTCCATAATTGCTTGTTGAAGCATTTTTTATGATAGCTGCTTTAAAATGCTTATCATACAATTTCAACATCTGTCACTTGGCTTTTTGGCTTCTGTTGATTGTCTTTTCTTATACAAGTTGAGGTTTTCTTGATTTTCAATTGTATCCTGTACATTTGTGTGTTATGTGTCAAGACTCTGGGTATACATCTGGTATGAGCGGGCCTCTGATGAGACTACAGGCCTGCTATCAATACCAGTTGATACCATGGTTGAAAAGGGACATTTCATTACTGCTTATAAGGGTGGAAGTTCAGTCTCTCCAATAGGCCTCTGCTGATTCTGCTGTGGCTGAGAAATGGAGGGGGGTGGGGTCTTGTTAATGCTTCCTGTTTGGCCTCCGTTGACAATATGGGAAGAGAGTAAAGGCCTTGTTAGTGACGCAATAATAAAAGTCCCAATCTCTCTGGTTGGCCCATGAAATTACTGTCCAGAGAAGGGAAAGGGTTACCTCTTTATTGAAGGTAAAAGACCTCTGAATGCTAGGAACCCCTTTGTTGTCTCCAATGAAATGTACAAAAGGAAACATTACCATTGGATCTTCTGCTTATCACCTCAGACACTACTCTAATGGAAGGAGCAGTGTTTCCTACATTCAGGTGAAAGGTAAAGTCTAGGATTGTACTCGGTCTTTACTGATGGGGGTAGAGGTGGGCTTATAATTATTTTCCCATGGTGTTTAGGTGAATTAGGGCAGTTATGGTGTAAGGATTTTTGTCATGCTAGCCTGGTGCTTTCCTCATCCTTTGCCTAGAAAGAGGGTTTAATTGGCGAATTTTATCATCTGAAGTTTCCAGGCTGCACTTTTCTTCAGCAACAATGCCAGGATATATGCAGCAAAATGAAAATGCAGAAAACCCAACACAATATTGTAATTCAAGTCTGGTTTGTTGCCTTCACTCTAATTTTTACAGAGTTATATTAATTTATATTAATGCAGTCACTATCAAAATTCTAAAAATACTTTTTGTTGAACTTAAAATGATTCTAAATTCATTTTGAAGAGTAAAAGACCATGAACAATGAAGAGACTCTTGAAGAACAACAAAGCTGGAGGCTTGTTCTAGTTAGCAATCCAGACTACTATAATGTAACAGCAATGAGAAGCACTATACAG